TGTTTACTGTTTAAAGTTTTTATTATATCGTTTATTACTGAGTGCTGCAGACTAATACTTTTATGAGCTTTAAAAATAAAATAATAATTTATGTTTGTGCATCGAGCTGAAGAGCCGCATCTTGACAACAAAAGAGCCGCATGCGGCTCGCGAGCCGCAGGTTGCCGACCACTGGTTTAGGGGAGATCACTCCCGGTTTATTTTTTACTTAAACCATTAAATCAATTATGAAATGTCAGACATTTGCACACCCTGAATGATCATTTTGAGACGATTAAATTAAAATGTGGTAGTCGCTAATGTGAAGCGGAAGATGCTAATTTTACACTGTGTATTCCATAGCATAAACACGTTTATTACTCAATGAAATTTTCTTTTTTATAAAATTGTAGTTAGACTTTAACTAAGGATAATGAGGAATGTATCATCAACCTCCACACGTGTAACTACCTTTACTTCCATACAGCTGATTTTAAACGGGACGGCATGGTCAGATGAAAGAGTCCACAACATCCAACATGAAATAATCGAGTTTGCATCCTGAATTGAGAATGTAGGACGTTCCTATTAGAAAACGAAGCTAAAGCCTTGGGCATAGCACTGACCACAATATATACGAGCATGGTCAGATGAGAGAGTACACAACTTCTATCATGAAATAATTGAGTTTGCATCCTCAACTGAGTATGTAGGACGTTCCTATTAGAAAACGAAGCTAAAACGTTGGGCATAGCACTGACTAGAAAGATTCAAGTAATTCTCTCACCAAACATGCCAGAGCGTGATTCCTGCCATGTTTAGACTAGCTCCATAGAACATCGTCCAGTATCTAATGTTGAAGTGGCTCGGTGCCCAGTAGGTGCAGCAAGCACATCATTTCAGTGATATTTACGAACACAAACTTTTATATTTTCAATAAATTTTAGATACCATGCGTTGATAAAAAACTTCAGTTCTTGTTACAACTTACTTTCGTGTTTTCTAGCCTCCCATTTATAGTTTAAGCTACTTGAGGGAGACAACCGACGACTGATTTTTTTTACTGAACTTTAATATTAAAGATATTATTTTCTCTAAGGACTCTTTGCAGTTCATTGTGCATTAAATTTGATATGACTTTCTAGGATATGTGTATTATTACTATTAGTTTTGATGGGTTCTTCAATCAGTTAGTGTGGTGATATTTTTTAAAAATTAATTTGTTTTAAAGAAACATAAAGATAAACCGATTTTCATATAAATATAACTCACTCAGAATTTCACATGAATCAACGGCGCTTATTTTAAATGAGTAATGCACAAACAAACAAAACATCCGATATTGTGTATTTATATTTTTACATTATATTTACGCTGGATGTAAAATATTGTTTTAAAAATCTAATTTTTTTAATTGAAATAATTAAAGACTTTTAAACCCTTATGTATGGAAAGCTTAACAAACATTCAACATATATCAAATAAACGAGATAATAAATTTAAAAAATACAGCAAACGAAAATAAAGTACCTCTTCCGAAGAAGTCTCAAATCATATATCTTATAGGTATCCCAATAAACGCATCACTTTCGACCTTCACGACAGAAAGTCAGATAATAATTATATGAAGTTTGTCATCGTAGATAACTTTGAGACCGTTGTCATATTTTCCAAGTACTTTTAAAACCTCTATTTTATTAAAAATAATTTCAATTTTTATTACTTTATTATTTTTTTAGGTAAGCATGGGGAATAACTTAAGACGTATTTTAGTAAGTATCATGTATAGTATTTGTTGCTTTAATGCACAAATATTCTTATATTTTATAGTGCCTTAAAAACATATAGGCCTACTAATTAAACAAAAACCCAGTTTCAAATTGTATCAAGTTTATTAATGATATGTAAAAAATTGAATACAGTTAAAGGACAAAAACAAAATAATATTTTATAGGCTTAATGTAGAGATGAGTGAATTTAAAAAACCAGGTATTCTGTTCTTGGTTTTTCTTGTTGCATCTTAACAAATAAATTTTTTTACTGAGCAAATTTTACTATATTCAGATTCTACAGTTGATAAATAAATAAATCATTATTACTATGTTAAATGTTTAGAACAGATAAATAAAAAAATACCCACTGTTTATAATGTTAGAAAATTCTCAACACAACTAAAAACATTTAAGACTAGCATGGTAAAAATACCATTTTATGCATTTTTTTTCCTAATTAACTTCATTTCAATTGTTCATCTACACATGTGGAGCAAATGTGGACAGAAGCAGGAGAGTAATGAACGTAGTTTCTCCCGATTATGTTAAGAAACTATGACTCTCGTATAAGTTAGAGACAAAAATGAAATAGAATAAAAGTTACACTGTGTTCTACACATATGCATTTATTTGTCAATGTTCTCAATTGCTAATGATTGTGATTAGGTGATTTTTTTCCGTTTCTTCACGTACTAATTATATTGTTGTACATATTAAAAACAAATCTTACGAAAATAACAAAAACCGGTTTAAATTGTTAAAAATGTAAAGTAAATTTAGTAAAACCAAAATGCTACCAGTAAGACTGACACGCTATCATGCTACTGTCTGAAGTAGTGGTTTGTTGAATAGATTTCGTGTTGGTTCATTACAATTTGAAACAAAGTCTCTAGAATAGGTGTGAACGTTTACATGCATAATTGCCCCCACACACTCATATTTATAACTCAAACAAGTCTTTAATTATATGCAAAGAAAATAAGAAAATAATAAAACACGTTTGCATTATTTAATATATGATTTGGTCGTTGCTCAAATATCAGTTTATATTTATTTTCTTATGTGCAGTATATTTAAAGCTTGTTTGTATAAAAAAACTATTAGTTTTATTACCTCTTTTACTGTTTGTTTACAGGTAGTAAGTGATTACATTGGCGTAGCTAGGGCGCCGGGTGGGGCGGAAGCCCAGGCACGGACCATTAAGGGACGTCAAAAGGGTTAGAAAAGCAATTATAAAGTTCATTTTAAGATGCAATATTAATTTATACACAGTCAAAGTTAGGAAAATAAACGGCTACAATCCTCTACTTGTTGATTTAATTTTTGTACTTCAATTTTGGAATATAAACAAAAAAATCTATTACGGGATGGTAACTGGTAAAACAATAGGGATATCCTGGGGGTGGGGAAGAGCGTTTTTTCACCAACATTATTAACTATATAGTCTGTATGAAAAGGAAAGGTGCGCGAAATTGATAGTCAGCCCCGGGCGCTAATGAATGGGTTGCTACGCCTCTGAGCGAATGTAACTTCTACCTTCTTCACAGTGTCACAAAAGGCAACAATCGAACAATCAAATGTACAAACGACCACACCGTATTGATAGTGATATTATAGTTATAGTAATAGTAATATGATGTTTTATTTGTTGTATTAAGTTGTGTAAATACGTGTTAGCAAAGTCTAATAAAATTTAATGATTTTAAAAAATAGAAACAAATAGAAATAAAACAGAAACTTAATATTTGCAGGACATGAAATAGTAATAGTAAAGTTCACTTTCAAACCTGACGGCCCATGGGGCGAGTGAAGTAGAGTTCACCTGTTTTAGTGACGTTGGCATGTGAAGGGATAGTGTAGGCAACACTATGTCAGCATTATGCCCAGTTGTTTCACTTTCCCTAACGTGAGTTAGGTACCCATCTAAGCTGGGTGGACTCAGGAACGGTTTACTAGCTTGAACCTTGATACGATCTAGAGATCGGGTTAGCAATTAAGCTCTCAACAGCTAGTCCATTCAGTCCAACATAAAGAAGGGAGGTAACGTTTTATAAATTCCATAATGACCAAGAAACAACCAATTGCATTAGTTAACAAATATAAACTGTTAAAAATTTTATTTATAGATTATTAAAACTATTGCAAAGTTATATAATTAAAGATTGTTGTTTTCCCTTCTTATTAAATAATTATATAAAAGATTGTTATGAAAACACTTTTTATAAAAAAAATATGTAAATGCATCATTCTTTGTTGTATATTAGCAAAACTGTTGGGGAAATCCTATAATTCTCGTCCCCAGAACCACAAACAGGAAAAAAAATACTAGACCAAATAAAATATAAAAAAATACTAATAAAAGGAGCAAACACTATCTAAAATATACATCTACTACGAAGAGAATCACAGTCTATTCTAAATATAGTCTGCAACGAAAAACACAAAACTAGAAAACATTGGCAGCTGACTTGCTGCACTGAATCTACGTACAGAAAACGTATGTAGAGACTATTAGTAGTGAAAAGAGGTAATGGTACAAGCTTTCACCCGTCTCACATAGTCGTACGAACACTTGGACAAACGGGACGACGAGTCCCAAAACACCACCATTTAATGTATATACAGTTGTGTGATATATATGTCTTATGTTCCATAAGTCCCAACTTTAATGTATATACAGTTGTATGCTCTATATGTGTATCTACTATTTACATAGTCCCATAACTCCCTACTTTAATGTATGTACAGCTGTGTATTTTAAATGTGTGTTCTATATGTGTATCTACTGTTCTCATAGTTTCCCGCTTTAATGTATGTACTATTGTGTGTTCTATATGTTCTATACGTGTATCTACTGTTCACATTGTCTCATAACTCCCCACTCTTAATGTATTTACCATTGTATGTTTTATAGGTGTACCAATTGTTCACTGTCCCATAACTCCTCGCTGTAATGTACGTACTGTTGTATTTTCCATATGTGTATCAACTGTTCACAAAGTCTCATAGCTCCACGCTTTAATGTATGAGCAGCTGTGTATTTTATATGTGTATCAGCGATTCACAGAGTCCCATAACTCCCCACTTGAATGTATGTACAGTTGTGTATTCTATGTATGTATCAGCTATTCACAGAGTCCCATAACTCCCCACTTGAATGTATGTAAAGTTGTGTATTCTATTTGTGTATCAGCTGTTCACAGAGTCTCATAACTCCCCACTTGAATGTATGTATAGTTGTGTATTCTATATGAGTATCAGCTATTCACAGAGTCCCATAACTCCCCACTGTAGTTAACACTGGCACACGACCCACTGTGAGGGTGTGAGTACACCCCCATACACCCCAGCTTGTACACATACGCCCCACTACTACCCGGACAAGTGGACGCTGTGTACGTGTACCTAGACAACCCCCACCAGTCGTGTTTGTCCGTCCATTGTCCGACAGAAATCCGTTTAGGACAGCCATGAGGGTGTGACACTATCACCACCAACTTGTCCACATTCTTCAAACTACCGTATTTACAGTTCGCATTGCAGCATAGAATAACAAACTGCTTGACTAATTTTTCAAGTCTGTTGATTAAGCTCAAGTCACATGACACACACGTGACCCTACTTAAGTCACCCTTAACATCCGCGAGAACAGTGACACTTCCGTCTAGGTTGAATACTTGACTGTCTTTTTCATCGAAATCACCAACACACCTCGTCATCCTCGCCTCGCTGTCATCAAACACAACATGTCTGGCTGTCAATACATCAACCTCCGCCCACACTTTACTGGGTGTATCCGAATCCTTACACAAACGACACGTACATGTTTTATTATCGTTTTCCGTGAATTTCCGAACCCCGTTGATTTTTCCGGTTCCTGTTCTCGTCAAGGACTTCCCTTTTGAGCCGAAACCCGGATATTTACAGCCAAAGTGAGCGAAAAAATCCGGTCGTTCTGTGCTGGTGTAGCTGACCTCGAGCTTGACGGTTAGGGCCGCTAAACACGTGACCAAATCCACCATGTCTTTGTGTTGGTAGTTGGGTGGCAGGTTGTCTACGGTGAAATCTTTCACAGGTATCAGGTCAAGATGACCTGGGTTTTTCTTGCAGTTGATAAAATTCTTCTCAAAATCTGTTTCTGCTTCTAAACAGATCTCCATTTCGTGATTTCCTGTATGTGATTGAAATGATAGAAAGATTAAACTAACGAAACTTAGTTCATATAAACAATTGCATTCATAAATTTACTAGTTACATTTAATCTAACAGAAAGCAAAACACAAAAAATACAGACAATTGGTTAAACCACAACCAAACTGCTTTTAACATACAGAATTTGAAATTAGATTACAAAATGTCAAGACAGTACGTTTAAACATTATAATAAATGCAACATTTTGGCGATGTATCTTTACTGCATAGTTTTAAACTTTGGCTATTTAATATATATATATATATATATATATATATATATATATATATATATATATATATATATATATATATATATATATATATATATATATATATATATATATATATATACTAGGCATGCTGCCCAGCTTCGCTTAGGCTTTCGAAAACATTGAGAATTTGAATACTTAATTAATTCACCCGAGGATCGGTCTACGACCTCAGGAGTTATGAAGAGGTTCGTCCGTGGACATTTTTTTTTTCGATTTATAGTTTATAGCTCAAATAAGACGCCTGTCAGTCGAGGTCAGTTTTGACCCCCTCATCGTAGACTTTTCGGCCAACCGGCCCCCGTGTTCTGTCGTCCCAAGGCAAGATCCTGCCAAATTTGAAGCGCCTGGGGCGCCGGGAAGTGCCCTATCGGGCACCCGACAACTTTGCTTTAAATATTATAGAGATTAGCAAATTGCATAGATAAACAAAGATTTCAATAAATTAATTAAGGCCTGAAATGCTTTAGTATAGAAATGTATTGTTTGAATAGATTCTAGATCTAGTTAGGGTCTACATCTGTGTAAGTCTAGTTCTTCAGTAGATCTAGATAATCTAGATCTATAATCTCTAGATAGTAGAGAATGAAAGACGTATTTTAAAATCTTAACTTACGCGAATGTGCCTATTCTTTCAAATTAATTTTTTTATCCCAAATTAGCCAGTTCCAAACAAAGATTTTTTATAAAATAATTAAGTCTTGAAATAGTTTAGTCCTAATATAGAAATTTATTTTTGGAATAGATTCTAGAGTAGTTAGAGTCTAGATCTAAATCTAGATCTTAGCGTCTACGTCTAGTTATTCCGTAGATTTAGATCTAGTCTAGATCTAGAATCTAGAATCTCTAGATCTAGAATCAAAATAAATAAAATAAATTTTATGAGTTTAGGCCGGAAAAATTGTATTGTATACATTTCATAGTGTACGTAGATCTAAATCAAATTTGAATGAAATAGTTCATTTCTTTTTATTCTAAACACGGCAGATGATGTCATTAGTTAATGTATAAGCATTAGTGACGTCACAGTTTTATGCGTTCTTGTTCACAACCATATATGCTTTTCCGGTTGCATAAATAAAATTGTTTTTCTACATTCGAATACGCCTTTTTTTTTAGTTTTCTTCTTTAAATAAAATTGTGGTTATATATTTAAAACATCTAACATATTATTTTCAACAAAAGTCCGTATAAAGTTCTCCATATATCACTGCCATTTCTGACGTGATGTCCGGCGAAAATATTTTGCGGACAGACAGAGAGAGAGAGAGAGAGAGAGAGAAGAGCGCACATGGCCTTTTATATATTAGGATATATATATATATACATATATACATAATATAAGAGGGTAAATATTTACCGCTAAACAAGCTGTGCGGGTCCACTTTACCAGCATCTTGATCCATTGTGGATTGTTAAGGGTTGGCAAGTCTGAAGTAATAATAATGGAGTAATGGGAATGGGCTTGAGATCCCGTTTAAGACTTACATACATACAAAGATATAATTTAAGTGCTACTTTTAAGGCTATGTTAAAAATGGTTGAAGTTTCTTGCTTGTGCTTCTAATAAACAGCTGTAGACACACACACACATACATACACACGCTCACATACACATTAAATTTATATGTACATATATATATATATATATATATATATATATATATATATATATATATATATATATATATGGTAAAGAATCTCGACTAGATCTAGATCTATATCTTTCTTTTTGTTTACAAATATACAAGCACCTTTCCTAGACTTTGGACTGTATGCAGATGTAATAGCATATCACTATACACATATTAATGTGGGATGTGTTAAGCCTGGGCGTGCTAATAAGAGAATCTTCTTATAAAAGGAGTGTTTGGTTTCTAGTATTTAACATAGTAGGCCTATACATATGTTTTGCTAATGTTAATGCTAGTACTATCTCTAACCCAAACCTTAATCCGAGTCCAACCATATCCCTAAATCTTTTTTTTTAATAATAAAATTTAACTTGAGATAACAATACTACGAACAACCTAATATACCTTTTTTCGGATAAGTCTATTGTCGGACATTGGTAATACCAATAAACTCTAAGTCAAACCATTCAATTATAACTATAAACTAACTACGTTACTTACTATGAGCTGTCTGGTTCAACGTTCAGTGTCATGAGATTGATCGTTGTGTTTACAGGCTAGCAAACACTAACGTTCTATAAATAGCAACGCCAATCCTTGACCTGCGCAATACGTACTATAAACAACGATAAACTGACCTAGATCTTCTTAAGTTAGGTTCTCTGACGTATCCTGTTAGTTTTCTATTAAGTTGTGTTCGACATATGTAGCACACATATTGTTGTGTTATCCAAATCTATCTATATATAATACTTTAATGTTTTATTGTCTCATCTATGCAGGGTGGAAATCCTTGTGGCCATTTACTTCGATGCGGTCGATGTAATTATACCGCATTAAAAAAAACTAGTTGTTTGTTGTAAAACGGAGTGCTACGAAACTCCTAGTCAAGATAATATTTACATTAACAGATTTTAAAGGATATGTATAAGTTTACTCTTTTTATTTAAGCGACAATGTATATACCATAGTGCCATCAACAGGACTAACTCATAACTGAACTACAAAACGATGGAATACTGGGATAAAAAGAAATCTTGATTTACAAGTAACATTAATTTTTATTTCAAAAGTATGTCTTAGTACTGTAGACAAATTATTAACATTACATATTGACTTTATAATTATGTTTCAAAACCCATAAATGTATTATGTAAAAATGTCATATAATTACTTTCTACATATTTACACGAGGATTATGAAGCCTTGATTAAATGGTATACTTAAAATTCTACCAATCTAGCAGAGTTCCATCCCCCCCCCTCCATATCCGCCCGTTGGCTATGGCTATGATCATAATGAATAATCTATTTATAGATTTTGCGCTGAACTTGGTCATTAGGTTAATCAGCCCCGTCTAGTCCTCTGCCGGGTTCGAGAGGTGGTCAAATCAACTCCCCAACTAATCAAGCAATCAATTGCAAATATCGCCATGGGTTTGCGCCAACAAATCGCTCGAAGTGCCCTCGACCCTCGAGATGTGTCACCCAGTACTTGAATTGGGTGGCTTCTTATGTACGAGTGGCTAATCTATATTTTTCTAGTTTTTTCAGCTTGACGACACCCCACCTAGTAAAAATCTTAGGTTGGATATTCCGTTACAATACCATCAAATTAATTCGAGTACTCAAAGTCTCACAAAGCTCAACTACTCAAAACTTTTCTCATCTACGTTACACAATCAAATCGATTACAACAACTTCACGATTACACAACTCTCGTAAAATAAATACTCGTCAACAGCACTACTTTGCCCGTTTCAACTACTGGATTAAGCAAGAATACAAAAAAAAAACCTCTACCAAGCGATCAATTCATATGCTCGACCTCCCAAAAAATCTTCTCATCCACGTTACTCAATCGAACTCGATACCAACAACATTACTCAACTCTCGTAAAATAAACAATTTTCAACAGTCTTATTTTGCCACTTCCACTACTCAACTACGCAAGAGTACCATAAGATACCACCTCACTTGATCTCAAATGGTTACACGCCTTTGCACACTGGTTTAACTGTTTTTTACCTTGATTATTAACTGTAAAACATATACTCTTAAAAAACAGTGACCGGCAAAACCGCTTTCCAGCTTTTCTTTGATGTGGGGAGGCGCTTTTTTTAGACTAAAATCGGAAGATTTACACTAGATTGGTCAAGTATCCTACAATTATCCTACCCAGAGTATACATAGTGTGACATTAATGTCGCTCTAGAGCATTACAACCCGTCCATTTTGGGTGATGAGGTGGAGGGGAGGGGATAACCAACTCATAGTGAACATAGCGTCAGTTTATAGATGACTGTTCTAAACATAAATATACAATCATACATATATACTGATTTAGAAACATATTTAAATACGTAACTGTAGTAATGTGACAGTAACATTTTTTTTTTCACAGAGGGGTTCATGGGGGGGTAATATAACCCTTCTCACCCCCCCTGCCTACGCCACTGACATGCTTGCAAATTTATAATGTTGTACAAATAAGCAAATTAATTAACCAGATAGTGCTAACAATGTCAGATAAAAATAAATAAACATCGGAATGTAAGCTTTTTAATTTTGATTAAAGTTTTAGAAACTAAGCCTTTGTTTCAATATCAATAACCTACTTACTAAACAATCAAATAGTAATTTTTCAAATTGTAAATATTCAAATTCTGTTCATTGTTTTTTGCAAACATTTGATGAAGTGAGTATACATTATTTTATAGCACTTCTGGGATAACGCTTGTTTAAAGGTCTAATGGATTAAGTCAAAAGAAGGCAGTTTAAACTATATTTAATTTACTTCACTCCCTTTGTTGAATTGCTGTAAATCTAAACAAATACCGATGCCTTTCATAGAACAGCTGTAACAATTTTTTTGTTATAGAATTTTAACTGTAATTTTAAATATGATGCTAAAATTTATTTTCAAAAGGTGTTTCCTTTGAACTAATTTTTTTTACAATTAAGACAAATATTAATATTAATTTTAAAAGTTCTTCACTTCAGTTTATCAATTACTAAAAAATAATATAATACCTTGTTTAATTAATAATTTTTCTTTATTATTCACTCTATTAATTATTATTTTTTATTGTATCTATTTATATAATACATTGTGTCTGTGTTAAAAATTGTGTATAAAAAGTTTGCACTCATTTTGAAGTAATTTATTGATAAAAATCACCTGGTGTTGCCTTCAGAAAAACTTAATACCATTGGTTTTAGAAGGATATACTTTTGTTAATTAAGTTACCGAATAATTAATGATAAATTGGCAAACAAGTGGACACATGACATGCAATTTGTTCATGTTTAACCTAATTGGGTGGAAACCAGCTTTCCATTTATTACACGAACTATTTTAAAGTTATCTCTTGGGGAAGGGGACTTTATAATTTGCATTTTTTTTTCTTAAACCAGTGTTCGGACCCCAAAATCTCAAATGCACCCCCTCACGCGTAAATATCAAGTGCCCCTCCTACATAAGAAGATTGTCAGAAAGAAAAACTGCACTGTGGGATCCAACAGCCCAGGATTACACTAACCTTGTCCTACCCGTTTGTTAAAGGGTATCTCTCCAAGGCCTAATATAATCTTCGCGATATTTTATAAAAGGGACTATTACAGGGGTAAAAAAATCGAAGTGACTTATCGAAAAAATATGTTTGGCAGAAAATACAAAACTCAATAGTTATGCGCAGTTACCTAAATAGCTGCGCTAGGGTTAGGACTAGGGTTATGGTTGTGGTTAGAGTTAGGGTTAAGAATAGGGTTAGGGTTCTGCGGTTTGTTTGTTATCACACGCATGCACAGTACCATCAAAAATATCACAACGAATGAAGGTAATAGGTTCTTTACATTGCGCATGCAATTCTTTTTTCGGCTAGAATCGGCCAAAAAAATTAATTCAGCCAGAGAATGGTGTAGTCACAGAGCCCATGTTTACAATAACCTAATAATTCTGATAAGTAAACCTACACAGATAACGTGGTGCATTATGAATGGATAATAAGTCATACATTTCTAACACAAACATTGTCCTTATGGTTTGTTAACTATAAAAGTAATTTTCTTCAACATCCCATAGACTAGTTGCATTCAAATCAAACATAATACCTTTTAAAAATAAATAACAAAACTAGTTTGGAAATAATATTAACTAAAACGTTTAAATCCTTCAATAGTTGGTTTTTGAATGCTATTGATTTCACAACCAGACTCAAGCACAATCTCCTCACAAATTGAAATCAATATAGATCTACATTCATATTTTTTACCCTAGGCCACCTGTTCAACATTCGTGTAAAATAACTAGACTTTTAAAAGAAATGCACGTGTATAAACTACCTGATTTTCTAAATTAATTTTTCACATGCAGGTTAATGTAATTGTAATAAGGGGGTCGTCCATAAATGACGTCACACTCGTAGGGGGGAGGGGGGGTCCGTAATTTTGTGACGGTGTGTGATGAGGGGGAGGGGTGGGGTTCAGATGGTGTGACGTCACTCTTTTGCATTATAAAAAAGCAATGTTATAAAATGAGTTTTAGCCGTTATTTCGCGTTTTAGAAAACGGTTTGAATAAATTATAATAGGAATTGATCAAAATACTCTATGTTGACAGAGTTCTGACATGATTTTGGAAAAATATCCATGATTTTAAAAAATTCAACAGGAATTTTGAGGGGGGGGGTTGTAGGCTGTGGTGTGACGTCATTTTAGGGGGGGTCTGGCATTTTGTGACGATGTGTGACGGAGGGGAGGGGAGGAGGAGGTAAAAATCGTCCAAAAAAGTGTGACGTTATTTATTGAGGACCCCTCAACACATGTACCACAAATGTAAAAAATTCAACACTCAATGTACAAAAATTAACGTTATAACAATAGGCGAAGAATGATGGTGAATTTCATGACATTACTTACCATCATGCTACCATCTCAAGTAATTTACCATCGCCTACATCCATGTAAGCTATCATCCCATAAACTCATACATGGTACTATGGCACTATGGTACTATCACTTTCACTCAATATATACTACCAATGCCTACAATCAATGTATTCTACCATCACCTAAAATTAATGTACACTAAAACCACCTACACCAAATGTATGCTACCATTAACAACACTCCTATCATGCTACCATACCTACCAGCTACCATAGCCTACACTTTCTGTATGCTTTTAAAACATACACTTCCCATATGCTAGCTCCACCACGTATTTGTTACCATCATTATCATTTTATAATCTATACTATTTTCTAGACTTCTTTTAACCTACCATTCCCCAGTGGCGTAGCGAGGTGGAGGGCGGGGAGTGCGGACCGCACCGGGTGACACCATTTAGGGGGGGGGGTGACACCAAGACAAAAAATAGCAAAATATATAGAGAAAAATGATAATTTCACTTAATTAACCCTTAAAGCGCGCATGGCCACGATCGTGGCTTTGCTATAACAGAACGTATAACGCGTAAGGCCACGATCGTGGTTTCGTGTGTTTGCGGCCGTATTTTTCGTAAATACTCGGCAATTAGACCAGTAACCGTAAATACACGAATACTTCCGCCATTTCCGA